GGAGACTTCCCAGTGAGGGCTTTGAACCAAGCAGTCGCGGTCGCCGCCATGTGCCTGCACGAGGAGGCAGCGGCACGCCCGTTGATCAGCGACGTCGTGACCGCTCTCAGCTTCTTGAGCGCAGAAGCCACGCAATCGTCGTCATCGTCGTATGGCGATGTCCCCTCACCACTTAATGATCACAGTCCAATCAACCCATCCAAAGCCAAAGCCAAAGCCAAACCCAGAGACTATCTTCACGACGACAACGAAACGGCCGAGGCGCGCCAACGAGCGGTGGCCGAAGCCATCGAATGGGGCTCCTCCTCCAGGCAAAACGCCGCCGCTTCGCGCCCCCAAAGTTGTTCTTCCTAAATTTAATAAACCCACGCTCTCATTCCATATGTATATTAAATTCCAATTACGTTACAATATACTAATTATTATTCATTTAACGGTCAAAATATGTTTTTTATTTTATTTTTTTATTTATTTAAAGGAAAGTTGGTGGGTACTTTTTTTCAAACAAAATATAAAGATATTTTTATTCATTTTACCTATTATAAAAATACTATATTAAATTATTCGATGCATAAACAATAATTTATTGATTGAAGTATATATTTACTTAATTTTTTTTCGTAAGAATAAATAAATTAATATAAGTACTTAATTTAAATTAATTCGTTTTAATTTGTTAAATTAATTTATTTATGGATATTTTAGTTACCATAATGGATCATTCAATGGACATTATTCAGTGATTATTAATTATTAATTATATAATATTTTTAGTACATTAATTAAACTATATAATTAATTAAAAATTTAATTAGAAACTATATTACCTAATGCCTTTAAATGTTTTTAACCGACTTTTCAAAAGGATGAAAAAAGTGAGATAGAATAATATGTTCGAGAAAGACATAGATAGATCCAAATAATCATACGTGTTTTAAAACTACAATTTGATATAAAACTTAGATCCGAAAGGTTACATCCTAAATTAACAAAGTTCAATCTCGAGAGGGTTAAGGTCCAAGTCAACCCAAATTGAAAGGGTCGGACCTAAAGCTATGTAAGTGCAAGCCCACGTGAATGAGAGATTTGAGCATCGTAAGATAAGAATCATAAGATTGAAATATTATCGGATGTTATAAAATTCGACATTTAATTTTATGTTTTTTTGTCGGGAATGGTTAAATTATTACAAATACAATTATAAATTAGAAAGTAAAAAAATTTAAATGGTTAAAAATCTAAAAGTGTTTAGGATTAAATTGTTAAAATAAAAGTGATTTTTAAATATATTTTAATTAATTTTAGGCCATTGAAACTGAAATAAATTTTGATGGTACATTCTAGAAAAACAGGAATCAATTCCAATGGTTGAGAATACCTTTCCAACTATAAAAGCGCTTCCACCCAACAAATTCGTTGTCAAGTTCTGCTATTTCTAGCGAAACCATCGCCTCTAATTTCCTACCTTGCTCAGGTTCGTCTCTTTCTTTTCGATCTATTTTGTGATTCTTTTCTACTGGGGACTGCATTTCTTGTTGTCTAGTTCTTATGCAATTGTTTCTGTTTTTGTTTTTTTTTTTCTATCATTTGGAATCCTCGTGTTTGAATCTGAGTTTGGTTTCCCGCGACGGAAATCTTTAGGACCTCATCATTCTATGGTTGCAATGCGGATCTTTTCTTGTTTGTGCCCTGTATTTCGGATTGAAAGAAGCCTGTGACGTTCCAATAATTTTCAGTTTTTGTGTCTATTGGTAATGTGCGTGGAGATCTGGCTTGATGCGTTACTTTTATGGTGTTTTGTTTTGTGATTTCACTCGCTAAGATTATATTGTTCTACGATTGTGGAGGCGTTCCTGAATCCTCTATCCTGGAACAAAGGAAGAATCCTTGTGTATTTTCCAATGATATGGGATTTTTGGAGATGCAGAGAGATCTGCTAATGGGCGTAGGGTCTCTCTCGCATTTGTAATTAATAGCTTATTTTGTTGGATCTGAATAAGTTTCTCCGTTCTATAACTGTCTTGTTTTTGTTTTTGGAAAATTAAGCTGATAAACACTTAATAAACCTTTGAATTTCTCTGTTGCAATCTACTTTCCAACAATGTTACTAAAATCCATGTTAAGTTCAAAAGCTAAAAAAGGTGGTTCTTAATTTTGAAATTTTGCTTAAGAATTCAAATCTTAAACGAAGATCATTATAAAGAATCGTGAGAAAATAAGCACATTTATAAATAAATAATAAAAAAAAAAAATTCAATGTTTATCAACAGGATCTTAGTTCAGGACATTGTTTATACTATTTGTTGGTGTTTTGTCTCCTTTGTGAACTGTTCAGATTTGATTGTTTATTGTGTGGGATGATATTCAATTGTGTTTTCTTGATATTGAACCTTATTTTTTTCCATTGTGATTTGCATAGGTCGTCCGTTTCTTATTATCAGTGATTTTGCTTCCTTGAGCAACTGAAGATAATAAGAATAACTATTAGTCAAATTTTTGAGTAATGGCTGAGGTAATGAAGGCTCACACCTTTTAATTTGTTCAATTTCCTCTTGTGTTGTTGTTTGGAAGCTGATTCGTCTATATTTTCTTTGAAATTATGGAATCTATTGCAGGAAGGTCACAAGGTCACTTTGAATGTTTATGACTTGAGCCAAGGTCTAGCCCGGCAGCTTTCCACCGCATTCCTCGGGAGACCAATCGAGGCCATATGGTAAGTCATTGGCATAGCCTATTTAAAATTGAATCCAAATGTTTGTGCTTTGTGACGGTGCAAATGATTAGTATTTGGAAGCTATAGTGTGATGAGTTTTTTAGATATATTAAGAACATGCCTCATGTGGGCTCCCTTTGATATTTGTTTTATTTTGTGTGTTCGGTTTCAAAAACTATGCTTGGTGAATGGTTTTCAATAGCCAAATTCCATTAACGAAAACAAGTTTTTAAATGCTACCCTTTTTAGTTTACAAAAAATTTCTTGGATCTTGTATAGGGCTTGAAGTCTTGGGTTGAAAATTGTCAGAGTGTTTGAAAAAAGTGTTTTTAAGTTCCGAAAAGGGATTTAAGCACTTAGAAAGTCATTTCAGAGTTCAGGGTTCTGATTGGATAACTAACTTACTATACTTTGGTCAAATTTCTAATTTGTGACAGGCACACAGGAATAGTTGTGTATGGCAATGAATATTATTTTGGTGGAGGTATTCAACATGATCCTGCTGGAAGAACTCCATATGGAAAACCGATGCGATCGATAGATTTAGGAACGACACACATTCCCAAGGACGTTTTCGAGATTTACTTGCAGGATATCAGCCCTCGGTACACAGCCGAGACCTATAGTTTACTCTCACATAACTGCAACAACTTCAGTAATGAAGTTGCACAATTTTTAGTTGGTGCGACCATTCCTGATTACATTCTTGACCTCCCTAACATAGTTATGAGCAGTCCCATGGGCGCCCTCATATGTATGTCATTTTAGTAACCATGCTTTCACTTTTCATTTGTTGGGTCAAGTAAATTCTTAATGAACATGATTTCTTCTCCAGTGCCCATGATTCAGAACCTGGAAACTACGTTGAAGTCAGGTGGCGTTCCGAAGACCCCACAGTTCAATCCTGCTCCAGCTAATGTCACTAGATCATCACCGTCGGGGTCAACAAATAGCTCTAGTACTCCGGTGGCTGTCAAATCAAAGTCGGAGGAAGATGATGCCAAGCCACCTGAGAAGACAACGCCTGCAGCAGCACCGCAGAAATCGGACGCGAACGAGGTTGCAGACCCACTCAGGGATGTTCGTAGCAAGGTGCAGGAAGAGATCGGCCAAGAATTTGCAGCAATCATGGCGACGGGGACTCTGCGGGCGAGCGAAGCAGCAGCATTGGCAACAAAAAGAGTGATGCAGAAGTATGGGCATGCTACACTATCTCAAGGCTAGATTCATATTAATAAACGATGCGATATTAATGATAGCTGTAGAGGATGGAGTGGTGTAGGAGAGTAACTTACTTGTATGGGATGTCTTTCTTTGTATGAGGGAAGAATTAAGTTGACTGACTATGGCTGAATTCAGAATGCTTTAGAAAGAGCATACATATCTTCTATTACGTATTGAATTACTAAACTTCAATGGAGTCAAGATTTTTTTTTTTTTAAAAAAAAAGAAAAATGCTTTATTTCGAGCCATTTTAATAGAAAAATCAACTGGTTCAAATCTTAGTGGTGGATTAATTTTAATATTTTTTATTTGATATTTTATTTAGATTTTTTAACATGGGTTAAAATTTTAATATATTTTCTTCTCATAAAATAATTAATCCTATTAATATTCGTTGAAATCTAGGTAAATCTTAGCTGTGGTTAACTTTTAAATTTTTTTTCTCGATATTTTATATGGGGTTTTAAAGCGTGTGACTCAAATGACGGGATATCAATGGGTTCGACCAAAGTAGAGAAAGCAATGAGATAGTCCCACTTGACCATAAGTACAAAGGTAAGAAGCTTTCTAAGGATGACATCCTTTTATATATGATTTATTTGAGACTTCCAAAAATTACAACCCTAACCCAATTAACCAGTAAGGAAAAACCAGTCGTTTTAGCAAAGCTGCAATTAGAAAGGAAAGGAAGAATGGTGAAGACATCAGTGTTTGCAATGTCGTTAAACTTAATGGTGTATTAGTGACACATTGGAAAAAGGACTAGTTTGTGTACAAATATATAATGACAAAGTGATCCCCTATGGTTCTTAATGGTCGAAGGAATACAAATGCAACTACCTAACTCACGAACAATATTTATCGACCACAAAAGCTTAAGGCAGATCAAATGGTTTGAATCAATGAAAGACTATGTCGTATCCCTTGAACCCTAATCAAGACAACTCACGCCTCGGAGCTCTTTTATTTATTTATGAAAAAAACAATAGGGGTGGATGGCACGTGGATTTGACGAATAAATAGATTAGTAATATGAATGTGTAAATATAGATTCGAGATGAACTCAATCATATCCCTTGAACCCTCAAACGGCGTCCTGCTTTCTCAGCGGCGACACTGTGGCAACCATATGACTGCCGCATGTGTCTCTTTTCCTGTTTTTCATTTATTTTTGTTTCCTAATTTTCTTTTCTTTTACCTTTTCTATAGCTTCCATTCAATTCAATCATGGCGATGATCCAGAAAACGCCATAGCTTTCTTCCTCGTCTTGTTTTTTTTCCCTCATCCTTCTCCTCTGCCCCTTCAAATCGACGTCTTATTCAAATTTCTTCAATTTCCCCTTTTCCACGCCTAACCCATCGCGAATTTCCCTCGTTTCTTACCTGGGTTTTCCCTGTTCTGCAAAATTCTGTAGTTACCAGTCTTGCTCCTCTGTTTTATTCAGGTTTCTTGCTCCTCTGTTTCTGTATTTTCTGTTTTATTTTTTCTCCAAGTATTTGGAAAGATTGCTGTTCTGTTTCAATTATTGTGGACGGTGTTTGTTTCCCGATTCTCATAGTTTGTTACTGTTCTTGATTTCTTACTTGCCAAGTTAGAGGAAGAGCTTAGGATATCCGATTTTCTGGTGATTGAAATCCATGACGTTCCACGAGATTCATTCATGGACCTTCTGTGGACTAGTCAGAGCTTTTCTTAACCTAGCTGTTGTTTATTTTCTTTTGTGCGTGTCAGCGACTGTGTTTATCCCATCTAAGATTTTGAAAGTTGTCGGGTTCTGCTTGCCTTGTCCTTGTACTGGATTTTATGGGAACCAGAACCCTAATTTGTGTTTGCATAGACTCCTTTTTAGTTGGCCCAAGAGGAAGATCTATTTGGTGCTCGATTCGGTCAAGCATAGGTTTCCTTTTGATTTGATTTTGGTCGATGATCAAATGGGTAAGAATATGAATTTGTCAAGGGAGAATCATCATACAGATGGAGTTCCTCTGCTGCAATCTGCGGCATGTTGTAGCAAGGGTAATAGGATTATGTTCCAGAGGCCAAGGCGGAGGAGAGCTTCTGTTGAATATGGGAAATTGTTCAGAAAGGAATGGGAATTTCTGGCATTGGATCAAAAACAAGACCTCATTCCAGGTGGGTTATGTGATCAATTTCATATTCTTCATCAATATTACAAGTTCTTTAAATGTTGTGAACTTATGATGTATTGTTATCTTCCTAGGATTGTTACTGCTTCCTTTCTCTGACATGACAAGTTTGTTTGTTTTTCTGGTTATGAAACTGTTTTGAAGATTAACTGGACTGTTACTAATCGATTTGATGCTAGCCAAAGTAAGAGTGAAGGAACATTACCTGATTCCTTTTTCCCCTTGACTGTTATTCCTATGATACGAGATCACTGCTCATTTATAGATGTAGCTGTGCTAACAAACAAGGACTAACCAGCTAACCGCACGCTTTCCGACTTCAAAGTAACGAACCACCCGTACATTTTATGAAAGAAATTTGTTGGAAGCTGTATTTAACTCATCGTGAATTCCCAATCTCTTTTTTTTTTGTTTGGCTTATGTAGAGGAGGAGGTGTAGGAGGGGTTCTATGTTAATTTTTTTGCTATATAATGATGTTTCTGTGACCTTGCTATTTCAGATGATGTTAATGAATCATATCATATGGACTTGGGTCGAAGAACCTGGCAAGGGTTCGAATCAAGTGGTTTAGTTGGCGAAAATAGTTGTCTGAATAAAGGTTCTTCCACTATTGGACATGGTACCAATAATGATCAAGAGAGAGACATTTTTGGAAATGAAGTCTCTATTAGATTGTTGGAGCAGGCTCTTGAAGAAGAGAAAGCTGCTCGGGCGTCTCTCTTTCTGGAACTGGAAGAGGAGAGAGCTGCCGCTGCTACAGCTGCCGATGAAGCAATAGCGATGATAACACGCTTGCAAAATGAGAAGGCATCGGTTGAAATGGAAGCAAGACAATATCAGAGGTTAATAGAAGAAAAATTTGCTTATGATGAAGAAGAGATGAATATCCTTCGAGAGATTCTTGTTCAGAGGGAAATAGATTATCATGTTCTGGAGAAGGAAATTGAAGCATATAGACAGATGGATTTTTCAGAAAAGGAAGAGTTAAAAGGAAACTGGGATTTCATAGTAGACGAACATAAAGAACAGTCTTCCACAGCTCGTTACTCAAATGGAGATCCACCCGTAGTTCATCAAATTGAAAACGCTCTCTCTCTTTCAAGTAAAGCAAAGTCGAACGAATCTAACAGTTGTAACTCTCAATGCCACTTTAATGAAGAAGGGTTGCTTAAGCAAACGATCTGGACGGATAAAGACAATGAACTGATGGATAATAGCTTATTATTTGAGCGCACTGCTATTGAGGAAGCTCTACGTCGTGGTGGTTTTGAGAAAAGCTTTCTTTCTCGTGGGGGGGTGCAAAACAGATTGGAACACATAGATCACACAATTAATGATCTTGGAAGTTCCATCCTTGATATGGAAATAGACGTTCAAGATATCCATGTGATTGATGAAAAACTCCACATGGATGACTCAAGAGAAGAGAGAAGTTGATAATTAACCATCTAAATCAACCATAGAAGTAAAATTCTGGGCTGTTTAGTTATTTGTAGTTTGATGCAGTGTGCTCCAGAAGAATTTTGTCTATATTGAAAGGTCGTCGTCGCAGTGTCGTCCGGTTAGAAGGGTCAGAACTTCTCCATCTGTGAAGAAAAGGATAGAGAATAATGGAATTTCCTGTTGAAATACCAAACGCCAAGATATTTGATGGTTTGGAGTTCCTTTTAAGGTATGAATTGTCTGTTTACGTTACCATTTATTCATTGTTAATGACCTTATTTAGTTGATCATGGACTCTGCTGATATCTTTGTCTCTTGAAGTTCATATTGATTGAATTGGAAAATGGCAGATGTTAATTCCATTCTGAAAAATGTTAACAATGTGCGTTCAAGTGATATCTTTTAGAGTTCAAGGACTAAATAGATATAAACTTGATAGTCAACGATGTGCGTTCGAGGACCTTATAGATATCTTTTAGAGTTCAAGGACTAAATCGATATGAAAGTCGATGTCGGTGGGCATGCATGATGGTTCTGCAAAGGAACTCCTTGTTTGCAAAGCTGAAGAAAAGAAGGCTTTTGAGACCACCTTTCACTTTCGTGTACTCATATTCTCTGCGACACAGGACGGACAGATTTGACTCAATTTTATCTTAGCTTTATAGAGACGTCGATATCGATCAATAGTATGAAGAATGAATTATAGAAGGAAGGAAGTCATAAAAGTTGATCGAATCATAAATAAATCTCTGTTATTAGTATTAGATTCTTACTAATTGTATACTTTTCTTTTGTTGATAACTTCCAGGTCAGGAGGGGAAGATTCATGAGGATTGTAAATGCCGTTCTGTGAAGAAGAATCTCTGTACATTTTTTTTTTTTTTTGTCCCTTTCTTTTCCAGTTATACTATGAACAGTTTCCTTTGTAAATTAATTATTGATTAGGTACCATTTCTTGATATCATTTGTGTTTGTAACCTGTTGTAAATATGTACATATTTTTCCTTAAAAAACAAACACATTGCGAGTATCTTCCAAAATTTTCTTCTTGTTTTCTTTTGTTGCTAAATAAATTACCTTTTTTGTTCGGGGAGATTTTTTAACGAACGGCTGACGAGTTTTGTTAAGACTCGGGTCTTGAGAATGTATATTTTTTAATTCTTGGTACATCTTGATATCTTACCTTCCTAGCATTTTATCAAAAATCTGTACCGTCCATAAGATAGTGTTATGGGATGGTTTAATTGAATGTTACGACGATTTGGTTGGGGGTTACTTTGACTCCGACCTCAAGATGGTTTTTTGGGATTGCCCACGAGACCTCGCAATTCGTACCGAAAGTAGTGAGATGGCGCCTATTGGGTTGGAATATTTGGTCTCTCAAACTTTTCACCATGTTGATGAATGCTTGAAATCCAAATTCAAATCTTGGCTGGTGATCTTGGATCAATATTTTGATTGGGCTTTTGGGTGGGGGCACAGTAAAAAAGGCAACAAAATGCCAAGTTTGAGTGTGAATGTGAATTCTCAACCAGAATAAAAGTGGTCAAAACTAAGGCTGTAAGTTTCAATTTTGTGTTGGAATCTGATTCTGATCTGTATCAGAATTCAGAAGCTGTTGGAGTTGGAGATGGAATTGGAGTTGAGCACTAAAGTAATCGACAACTCGAAGTAAAAAATACGGCGTTTTCAGAAGCATCGGGGAAGGCGAAGAAGAGACAACGTCCGTCCTGCGTCCTTTTCGCTTTTGTTCTTTTCATTCTCTTTGACGATTTCCTCAATTGATCCTCTGCATGATCTCTGCCCTGATTCCGTTTCCGTCAATTCAGCCAGTTTCTGGGCTCTCTCTCTCTCTCTCTCTCTCTCTCTCTCTGGGTTTGCATCGAATAATTTTTGATCTAACACAATGCCGGGTAGACTTTCGGATCCGATTGAATTTGATTTCGTCAACTTTGATTTCTGCTTCCCACACTCGATCGTCTTGTTTTTGTGATTCGTCTACCTCCCTCTGTTTCAGGAGATTTTGGTGAAGATGAGAGGGCGAGGGTTTTTGAACCTGAATCCTCTGAAGATGACAGACGGCGAACTCGGTCTAAATCTCTTAGGAAGAGGGCGATCAGTGCTTCTGCTAAATTTAGCAACACGATTAGAAGGCAAAGCAGTAGGGTTGCAGATTGCCGCTTTGCTCCGATTTCGGTTGATGAGGTTCGGGACGCCGGGGAGGAAGATTCCGTGAATAAGTTCCGCCAGGCTTTGATCGCGAGAGATCTGCTGCCAGCCCGTTTTGATGATTACCACACTATGCTGAGGTAGCTCAATTGTTGTTTGAACACTAGTGGATTTAAACGATCTGAATAAGCTTCTATGGACGACACCGATTAAAGAATTGCAGGAAAATTTTAGATTTAGACGTCTTCTCCACATTTTTTTTCGTATAATTCGTGTTCTTACCTCACTGTGCTTGTTAGCATTCTTGCTAGATATTCACAACCACATCAACAGCTCTATTTAATTCAATACGTATCAAATTTCTTCATAGCCTAGGCAGAACTTTCTTCCTTCATTGCTTGGTTTCTAGAGAGTTTAATTTAATGAATAATTTGGAGACGAAAAATCAATAGGGTCATGGTTCCATGTGTAGATATCATGTGGCCTCTGCGTCTGCAATTTCTAGAGAATTTTGCAATCGTTCTTCCTATGCCATTTTTTTTAATGAATATTGTTCCAACGTAATGTATAGTTGGGTTTCTTTCTTCTAAATTACTGAAGAGATTTGAAAAAACAATCTTGGCTAGAACTTATCAGTCATTGGTGAAAAGATTGTTTTGTGTTTTAGAAAAAGATTAAACCATCAGGTATCTACGAGTGCGCATTACAATGATGAATATTCGACCACCAAGAACTGTACACCACATAGACACTTGAGTGTACTTTGAACTTTAGAACTCCACAAGATTTTGCAACAAGTGGGAGTGCCTTCTAGTTTTGCAATTATGTCATAAAATTGTGATTTACCATGGAAGAGAAATGAGATATGAAGTTTCTTTTATCGCTTGTTACTTCTCTACTGAATTTTCTTTTCTTTCTTTCTTTTTTTGCCCTCAGATTTCTCAAGGCTAGGAAGTTTGACATGGATAAAGCTCTCAACATGTTTACAGAGATGCTCAGCTGGAGAAAAGACAATAATATAGATACTATTATGCAGGTAATGTGGGACGATGTCTACTTATTTATATATATGTACATTGTTTTGCGTTTCAGTAAACGAATGTTTCAAACATGAAAGTTTAATGATTACGAAAGAATGAGCTGAGACCTATACCCTTGCTGATCTAGCAGTGAGGTCTTAGTTTTTTAAGAAACAAATTTTCATAACAAAAAGAAAGTACGAACGGATGCTGAACCTAAACTAATATCTCTGTAGGATTTCATATATGATGAGTATGAAGAAGTTCAACGATGTTATCCTCACGGTTACCATGGTGTGGATAAAGGAGGAAGACCTGTTTATATTGAAAGACTTGGAAAAATTGAACCTGGCAAGCTAATGAATGTTACCACAATAGATCGGTTTTTGAAATATCATGTCCAGGGGTTTGAGAAGCTTTTTGCTGAGAAATTCACAGCATGTTCTATCGCTGCCAAAAGACACATATATTGTACAACAACAATACTGGATGTTCAGGGACTGGTAATTTCGGGCATTTCTGAGTGTTACCATGTTATGGTAGTTTTGCATTGTATGTGCTGACAGCGATGATTCTTCTTATAATTGTGTAGAACATCATGAGCTTTGGAAAGCTTGCACATGACCTTGTTATGCGCATGCAAAAAATTGATGGGGACAATTATCCTGAGGTTGCCTAAACTATATTTTATATTTAGTTTCCTTACTCTGGGAGCTTCTAAAAATTTTTTATACTCGCTACTTTGCAGACGCTGAATCAAATGTACATAGTGAATGCGGGTAGTGGGTTTAAATTTCTTTGGAACACTGCAAGAACCTTTCTTGATCCAAGAACTACAGCAAAGATACATGTACAAGTCCCCTTTCAGTTAATTTTCATTTTTCTCGAGCTTATAACAATGCATGAATTTTGAGTACTGAAGTTGTTGTTTCCTTGCTGGTTCTGTAGGTTTTGGGCAGCAAATTTCAAAATAAGTTGTTGGAGGTCATAGACTCAAGGTCTGAGGATTTCAAATGTTTTTGTTTCTCATATTTTCTTTTAATCTCATGCTGATTTTTTTTTTTCCTTTTACTAAACTGAAAAGAATGTTTTCTCCTTAAACAGACAGCTTCCCGACTTCCTTGGAGGAGATTGTTCGTGTTCAAATGAAGGTGGATGTCTTAGATCTGACAAGGGGCCCTGGAATGATCCTGAAATCATGAAAGTCTGGTCCTGTCAATTTAGGATGCTTATTATACTTTGTAATTATCAATTTCTAAAAATATTAACATCCGTAGTGTTAATAGTGTTAGCTTCGTTACATAAAGCGTGAAGTTACATCATTGCTTGTTTTATCTAGCAGCTTGTTTTTGCCGAAGAAGCTACTCACTCGAGGAAGGCCAACAATTTCTATGGCAGAAGCAGTTTTGAAATCGACTTTTTTAACTCGAAGGTGACCTTGTTGTTTCATAGCATATATGGCTTCATTATATATATATTTTTTGCTGACATGTCATTTCTGATGCTATTTCCTTTCCTAGTAGCAGATTGACGGTAATGAAATATCTTCACCTGAATCAGGGTCTGAGACAACTGCCACTACCAGTGCTTCTAGCATCCGAAATTTTGTTTCGGTGACTGGCAGGGTAAGCATGATGGAAATTAAATTATTTTAAGTGCTTCGTAAACACGAACTTTTTTGCTTCAATCAATTCTGAGGAATTAATTGTTTATTACAAAGCTGAAGTTGGCTCCTTCTACTGTTGTGACACTAGGATGCTGTTTGAGATATAATTGTAACTGTTCAATGTTTATGTTCTGAAAAGCTGTTTGCTTGTCTTGCAAATATACGAATTAAAAATCAGTGAGGATAGGTTTTAGGAATTTTCTTTTGGGGTCCCCTTGCAAAAGTAGTACTTCTATTTTAGGTCTATCATAAATCATGTCAGAAATATATTGCATTTCAGGAAGTATAAAGGGAAAAGGTGCTGAAAATTGTCCAATTAGTTGGTAAGGTGTATGCTCTTTTAGCAGTTTTGATCTCGTTAGCAGATCATGTTGTTGAGGAATAGTTTCTACATTCTTACGTAAATATCAATTATTTTTTGTAATTTTTTTGTTTATTTTACTTTTGTGCCAGGAAAAGTGCTTCACACCGAGGCCCGTTAACAGCATCGTTGCACCTACAGTTCCTGCTGGAATAATTGAAGAATATGGTTCAAGTAGGTTAACATTCAACTATTCCTTCATTTTTCTTACCTTAGAAACGAGCTTGATAAAATCTATATGAGATGAACGATGTATCTTCGCTGTAGAATGAGAAAGTTTAAACCGTTCCTGCATTGCATGCACCTAGCTTCCTAGAACTCGTGAGCTTTTTCCTAGACTGCTTGTTGACTTCCTTATCATATATTTTCCATCCTCTTCTAATAGTATGATTTGCGTGCTTAATCTTGGACTGATTATGATTTTTGGATTTCTTTTCGTTCTTAGTGTACCGTACCTACTGATAACAAAGAAAATGATCCATATGTCTTCCCACACTGCATGATTTTATATTTTTTCCTCTTCTTTCAAGGAGGCTTATGAATGTCTTACAGTTAAACATCAAATAAGTGACAGTGTAGTGCTTCTTCCAATATGAACCTGTCATAAAGTTGCCAAGGATATTTTTATTCTATAAAACTGATAAATTAGTTCAAATTGTAAAGACATAAATGTTACATGTGACGGGCATCAATAGTGCTTTATGTGGTAACTGACCTACCTTTGTCTGACTGGGTTTTCGTAAACGTGACAGATAATCTAAATGCTGATGTTCAACCAATAAGGCTACTGAAGAAATTCATTCCTCAAGTTACCAGTACATTTGTTCATTTTGTATTCAGAATTTTTGCATGCATATATCTATTAGTCCCAGGATTCCGGAGAATTTTCATGATTAGACATGCTGAGAATCAACAACCTGAAGACACTTCCAACGACCAGTTGGAAGATTCAGGGCCTCAAGAACAGCCTAATACATTGGAAGTGGACCCAATCTGGCAAAGGCTGCAAAATTTGGAAGTTATGGTGACAGAACTTACCAATAAACCTTCAAAAATCCCTCTAGAGAAAGAGGACATGATTAATGAATCTCTGAACCGTATAAAATCCATAGAATATGACCTGCAGAAGACAAAGAGAGTAAGAAATCTTCCAGAATAACAAGAACACTGAAGTGGTTTGTGCTTTAACTGAACATATTTTCTGCTTGAATCCTAGGCATTGCTTGCTACTGCATCAAAACAAGTGGAGCTTGCTGAGTCAATGGAAAGTATAAAGGAAAACAACTTAGTTGTAAGTCTCCAAAATACTTATTTAACATTTTGCACTTCAATGATTAAGCAATTGGTTGTGAACTCCTATTATACATGCTGCAAAAGTATGCATAGTCTTGTTTTTTCCATTATGGAGAAGTCTGTTCACCATTACCAAACATTGTCACGAATTGCAGGGAGCGTATTCATGTTGGCCTAGAACTCGAAAACCATTTTTGTATTGAAGTTTAGCCCGTCACCACCGGTCGAAGTTTTGTTGAATTATCAATTCAGGTTATCTCTCTTTCTCTCTCTCGATCTGAGATGGCTTGTTAGGAAGAATCATCTTCTTATTTCGCTCCCAATTCCATTGTTCTTTTCAGATCTTTCTATGGAACGGAAGATGTTTCTGATCATAAAGAAGAAAAATGGTATACGCACATAATCAGAGTTCTTTTGTATAGAGCATAACACACAGTATCACACCCACACACATTAATATAACTGTTCTTTTACATTTATATTGTACATGATTTACAGTTTTTCTCTTTTGCTCGTTTCCTTATTGAGTCTTGAAACTGATACATAGATATAAGAACTATACATGACCTCACTCAGTTGTGTATTATATCAACTAACATCTGACTAAATATACAAAACATTCCTTGTTTCCCCCTGAGTGTCAGATAATATCATAGTATACATCTGTTTTAACTCGGTTTCATATCATATCTGCAGCCTCTCGATGATATGAAAGTACCCCAAAGCATGTTTTTGTTTTTAATCATTCGGAATCAATTTTTAGGCATTGAAATCATGATTGGTTGTGTGAAATCAAACGTTAAATTGATTTGTTTTGTTGTATAGTTTATGTCGAAGATATGGTGAAGTTTGAACTAACTTCAAAACCTTGAACAAGGGATGAATTGCGAGATCCATGCCCATGAACAAAGTAGGTCGAAGTAACCTAACTCGTCTTTTATAGTCTTTTCTATTTTTATATCACACGAGCTTACTCACTAAAGTTTAAATCCAGTAATAAATTCATATCAACTGATGAGTCATTTGGCTCATAAAATTTAGATCAGTCCTTTCAAATTCAAGAGAGATAGCATTAGATACGTGGACGAGACTCAAACTTAGATGCATTACTTCTTTACATTAAATATAATCTTCATCCCGACTAATTAAATGTGAATTACAAGATAGTTCTAATTCAGGTATCAAATATTAGTAGCACTCGTAATATTAATATATTTAACTCAATTACAAATGACTTAATTCCCCCGATGTATTCATGACATAGATTATGAGATCGATGTAATCCCTTGCATAAATTAATTGGCATTTTAGAACTAAATGGATCAAATTTGAAAAATTAAAAAAATTTAGGGGAAAAAAAGAATAAAATATTTAATGTCACACCAATCGGAGATGTGATACTAAGGCCGTGGATGCGAGGCGAATGGCCTGAGAATCTCAAAGCTCAGCATCCATTATCCATGGCCGCCCACTCCACTCCCTCCATCCTTCTTCCACCGGCAGTCAGCCATTCAAATCCTAAGAACCGTGTATTTCTTTGTCAACAACGAGCGAGCCATCACAATTTCGAATCTCCCGCCCCATCTTCCTCTTCGTCTTCTACGGATGGTAAGCTCATGCAGAGAAGTCCTCGCGAAGGACGCATGGACATCGCAAAGCTGAAGGCGAAGGAAGCGGGCGAGAGAAAAGAGGAGGTCAACAGGAAGATTGCTTCTCAGAAAGCCATTTCTGTGATTTTGCGCAGGGAAGCCACGAAGGCCGTCATTGAGAGGAAGAGAGGCCCCACTAATTCTAAGAAACTGCTTCCGCGAACTGTTCTTGAGGCTCTCCATGAACGAATCACGGCCTTGCGATGGGAGTCTGCGCTCAAGGTCAGTTAATTTTGGTTTTAAGCTGCGTCTGATTTTTCCTTTTCTAGTATTCGTTTGGAAATTTATAATCGCTTTGGTTGGAGACTCTTGGAAGAACAACGTAAAGGTGTTTTGTTCTTCCCTCTTTTTGGTTCTTGTATGATGAGTGAAATGACTCTTGTTCGGAATTCCAGCAGTTCCCTTCATGTTTGAGTTCAATGTAATTCATTTTAAGAACAAATTTAATTGACTGCTTTGAGTGCAAATAAACCTCAATTGAAGCTCAGAAGTTGGATCTTTCTTCATTTAGCAACCAGGAAAGAAGAAACAAGTTTATCTTTGGATTGAGTCGGTAAACACGGGCAGCACCGAACGAGAATGAATATGTATAGTTCTGGTACAACAAAGACGAGGCATAGAAATATAAATCACCATGGAACCTAAAAGTTTGAGCTTGTGGGTAACAACAAATTTAATTTATTTCAACACTTCAACATTCACTAGGTGGATTTGCTCGTGTGTTAGCGATCAACTGGAAGAGGACATTCTGGTTTCCTGTCTTTTTGGGGCATATCAGACTTTGTTGGGACGATCTAAGGCTTTGACTTATCTTACAACCATGGAATAGATTCGGTGAGATCTCACATCGGTTGGGGAGGAGAACAAAACATTATTTATAAGAGTGTGGAAGCCTCTCCCTAGTAGACCCGTTTTAAAAACCCTGAGGGAAAGTCCGAAAGGAAAAGCTCAAAGAGAACAATATCTGTTTGCGGTGGAATAAGCTGCTATTGCTATTTGGAGTGGGAATTTGTATGCATGAGAAAAATTGAAACTGAACTGCGGATGTGCATTCTATACTCTAAATGCATAAGGCCAGCAACTTAAGAAAAACTGGCACCATTGACAACTTATGGATTGTGTCATTAGCATTAATGCTAAATTTTGTTCATTGTTAAGAACAAGAAAAGTTCAAAACTTGGCCAAGAACGACCGTGATTAAGCTAATTCGTCTTCTTAATTGATTATGGATTTCAGGTTTTTGAACTACTACGCGAACAATTGTGGTACAGACCTTACGCCGGGATGTACATCAAGCTAATTGTCATGCTTGGAAAATGTAAGCAACCTGAAAAGGCCTATGAGCTGTTCCAAGAAATGATCGAGGAAGGCTGTGAAGTTAGCCATGAGTCCTATACTGCTCTCCTGTCGGCCTATAGTAGGAGTGGTCTTCTTGACAGGGCATTTTCACTCCTCAACGAGATGAAAAACAGTCCTGATTGCCAGCCTGACGTTCACACTTACTCTATCCTCATAAAATCATGCTTGCAGGTGTTTGCATTCAACAAAGCACAAACTCTACTCTCTGACATGGTGACTCGAGGAATAAAACCGAACACTATTACATATAATACCTTCATTGATGCTTATGGCAAAGCAAAAATGTACTCTTACTTGCCTGCCTTTTGAGAACATAATAGATGATTCATCTGGTTGCTGACTGAACTATGTTTAAATTTGAGTACTATAGATGATAATCAACTTCATTTTTAGATGGAGCTTATATCTTTCTGCAGGCATAACGCCTTCCACGGCCAGTTCTCTTCAATCTTTCCTCCAGAGTCAACTGCTAGAAGTTGAGCTTGGTTATAGCTAGTAGTTGGAGCCAGCATGGGGTGTGTGAGGTCTCCTTTTGTAGGAAAGGGGTGGGTGCCTTGGGGCTGTTAGAAGAAAATGGTTTCGTCTTTTATGCTTATGGACTAGTTCTGCTCCTCTATGTCATGGTTGTTATCAATCTCTCTAGAAACAGTTCAAACCCACCACTAGCCGATATTGTCCTCTCTAGGCTCTCCCTTCTGGGCTTCCCTTCAAGGTTTTAGAATGTCTGCTAGAGAGAGGTTTTTATACCCTTATAAGGAATGTTTTGTTCCCATCTCCAACCGACGTGGGATCTCACAACTTCTGTCTCTTCTTTGCATTGTCCTGTCTTATAATTTGCGACCAGATGAATGTGTCTACTACTTCCATTGTAGAAAAGTAATTCTTTTTGTGTGTATATATTCTGCAGGTTTGCTGAAATGGAGTCCATCCTTGTGGAAATGCTGAGTGATGATGGTTGTAAACCCGATGTTTGGACAATGAACTCGACACTTCGAGGCTTTGGCAGCAGTGGACAATTAGAGACCATGGAGAAGTGTTATGAAAAGTTCCAGGGAGCTGGAATCCAACCAAACATTCAGACCTTCAACATCCTTTTGGATTCATACGGCAAAGCCAAAAGCTATGAGAAAATGAGTGCTGTTATGGAGTATATGCAGAAGTACCATTATTCATGGACAATCGTAACCTACAACATCGTTATCGACGCATTCGGGAGGGCTGGGAATTTGAAACAGATGGAGCATCTCTTTAGACTTATGAGATCAGAGAGGATCCAACCGAGTTGTGTAACACTTTGCTCGCTCGTAAAAGCCTACGGTCAAGCAGGAAAACGCGACAAAATCGAAAGTGTACTGCACATAGTCGAAAATTCCAATATAACGCTGGATACCGTCTTTTACAACTGTCTTGTGGACGCTTACGGGCGAATGGAATGTTTTGCAGAGATGAAGGCGGTACTCGGAATGATGGAGCAGAGAGGATGCAAGCCTGATAAGACTACCTACAGGATCATGGCTCGAGCTTATTCAGATGGAGGAATGGCCAACCATGCCAGGGAGATCCATGATCTTGTAAGAACAGCAGAAGCAAGTAAGAGAACTCGTCCTGACTTATGATATTAATCTCTTAGCATATGTAATGAAATAAATCTCAGTATTGATAATTAAAGGAGAAATTTAAAAATAAATTATCTCAATCAGGGAAAAAAATTGGATTTGGGCTTTGAGGGGTGGGCCAGGCCCATGCAGTAGTGCAAGGCAAGGGCGACGCTCAAAGGCCCACAATAGCAAGCTACTGTATTGGGCCTTTCCCCGAGAAAAATTAATTTAATATCATGTGGGCCGATGGCCCACGTATCAGATATTAAACTGATAAGAACAGATACTACACTTGATCTTAGCCAAAAGGCCGAGAAAGGTATGAAGATTTTAAGTCACATGATTCCCCTTTTATACCAATCCTTTGTCGCTCTCATGATGGGCTTTCTCGATGTGGGACGATTCTATACGCCACAATCTTGCCTTTCTTTCTTTATTTCCTTATTATAATTATTTAATAAATTCGGTTTAATCTATTTTAGATATTTTTATTATTTTATTACTTAAATTCTAAAACCAAATACGACTTTTTTTAATATTTTTGTTGGCATTATTTAATTTAATTTTCAAACTATTAGTTATTATTTATGACCGTAACAAGCTTTTTAATGTTTGAAAAAAAATTGTTTATGGAGTCAAATATTCAAAGTTGAATAAAGAAAATTAAAAAGTCTTATACTAATAACTATTTTTAAATTAAAGTAAAATAATAATCGTTGTGTTAAATTAGTTTTTATGTTTCGAATATAATAATTTAGTCTCAGATTTACGATGATTTCATGTGTTCGAGTTCGTTATTTATTTTTTAAAAAATAAATTAATAAAATATAATTATTCTAAAAGTATCCAATAGTTTAAACATGCAAATTAAGGAGAATGAATAACGATTGTGCAGTGAACATGTTTAGTACCACGATTGTACTTCTTCTAACCACGTGACACTATGATTTAAGATTGATCATGATTATCTTTCCGGAAATCTAGTCCTAACCTACTTTTCACGCTTCTTTGTGACTTTGGATGAGATTTTTTTTCATCCTCAGTCGAACTTCACTTCATGCGCAACTAAGCTTCTCTGGGCCATACACGTTACATGTATGTGTATTTTCCTTGTTCACTATTCTAATTGACTCGTTTCTCCTATAGGTCAAGTTTCGTGTATTTATGTTGTCCTGTATGCTGTGCAAATGTCTTCTATCAATGTCGCATCTCGTTATACCATCTTTGTTTCAACAACACTGTCTCCTTGCTTCTCTATTAGTTTAGAACTTCACCAATATGAGTTTGAATCCTTTGTTAGGTCAAAATAGGCTCATAGCATTTGAAGGATCATACGGGGTGATTTAGTCACTTATCGGGACTCGTTCGATCATTATAATACTTATCAAACTCTACCAGCCTACTATGGTGTCTACCTACCTAATGGTTGCATGTTGGGTTTTATCAGGCTATTAAAATGTTTGTCGCGACAACTTGGGCATCGAGTCCACTAACACTTCATGATGTCACCCCGAGCATCAAAATGTCATTTATCTTCATTGCTTGCTCATGCAAATTTATCGATAATTCATCCCACGAGCAGTCTTCCAATTAGACCTTCTCAAACATCCATCCATCTAGGCATATTATGGTATGATTGTTCGAGAATCCATGCCAAGTCATTTTAGCATATCATACCCTAGATCGGGTCTACGCTGAAACCTTTAACTCGTGAGAAAGGAGCAATGTCCACACACATATACCACTTGACCCCTTTCATGAGATCACATTCTTGATGGAAGCCCAAAAAGGAGCCGAAAGTTAGACACTATGTCTAGCCTTATAGTAGATTTTAAGGTATTTGTGAAGCGTCACTCTTGTCAGTGACAAGTGGTGAGGAGTGATGCACCATCACAGAGTGTCAATTCAATGTCCAATTAACTCAAAACGTGACGTGTTTAGGTATCTCATTAGTATGCATCTTAATCTAAAGTCACCTGTCAAAACTCTCAACGTAATCTCCACTTCTAGAGTCATGACTCGAGATCCAATATGGCCCCACTAAGCTTTACACTACCGATAGCATCATCACTTTTATTTTTGTTTGTGCCTCAACTTGACTTTCTTTTAACACTACTTAACGTGTCAGATGATGTATCATCCTCATCAGTTACATCATGACACCTCTCTATTGGCACTTTGTTTAGTCTGACAAAAAACACTCACGTGAGACACCAACTTTGGGAAGGTAAAAATCACTCCCGCTAAATCATTAGATGATGTACCAATGTTTCCCATTTCTTTCAATAATAAGCCTTAGTCAATAATTATGTCCATATTTGTGATATTCCAAGTGGTTGTTATAATAATTTAATTATGTGATGCATCTCCAGACGCGATAATGTATGACTTTGAAACACAATTCACATTTGAACGAAAGCGATGCTTTCAAAGACATAGATAAAGAGAAAATTTTAAATTTATAAAAATGGAATCGAAGAAAGTATAATATATTCATAAAATTAAAATAAATATAGTTAAATTAATTGTAAATTAAGGTTATTAATTATAAACATATCCCACTTTAGATTTGAATTTTTTATTTTTTTATTTTTTTATTTTTTTATTTTATTATAAACTTTTTAGAATTTTCCTAAAATGTATTTTGAGAATAAGAAAATAAAGAGGGATGAAAATAAATAATATATTATTTTTAATTAAAAAAAAAGCCCAAAATGGATACCCATATTTTCAAAGGCCCCCTTCTTCATCGTCTTCTTCATGTTCAGCCCACTACTCGCAGAGGTCGCATAGGTCGCATAGTCCCCCATTTTCAACTCCATCGAAACCAACCTCGACGTTGGAGACTCAGTGTGACAGAAATTAGGGACAAATAGGGTTTCTCAACGATGCTTCGGGACTGACATTTGCAGGGACGTGCTGTGTTCTTGGGCAATTTTCGTTCCATTTTAATTCAACCAACGTTTTCCCTCGCACAAAACCCTAGGGCAGACCAAGCTGAGGGAACCAACTCTCTGGGTTCTCCAATATACCTCTCCCAGCTTCCAATTTCTTCACTCTCTTCGAAATTCAGGTGATTATATTATTGCTTCCTGGTTTTCGGTTCAATTCTTGGAAACCCTAGAATTTTAAATTTGGGGATTTGCCAGGGGTGCAATAATTTTGGGTTATTCTACCTTAGTGGTTTTAACAGTTATATGATTGTGCTTCGTATGTTTTATGCAATGTCGAGGCTAGTGTTGCAACCCTGTTGATTCATGATTGATAGATACGGGGACGAAAATTTATCGCGTTTGATGAATATGTTTAGCAAATTCCATTGAATTTATTCAAATGGGAAGTTTATTGTTTCTGAGGTTTCATTTTATCAGTCATGGACACGCACGTTTGGAAATTTGCAAGAAAAGCAATTGCAGCTGGCATGCGTTAGCGGGCACTGTAGCTGGTTTTCATATTCCACGTTGCTCGTGTAACCTTATCTCTAAAGATTTCATTTGGTCTGTTTATTCAGTTTACTCGTCATATAGTTGGTGCTGCCGATTCTGGTTTCAGAGTATTCCAGCTTTGCGCAACTCGTTTTGTGTCTGTGCATGCTCTGTACTGATGTATGTCTACTTTTAGCTATTTGAAGCAATGCCGTCATGCTTGGAACTGCTCAGTCGGGTTTTGTGATTTTGCTATGTGTGGGGTTCCTGTTAGAGGGTAGATATCTCAAGGTTTTGCCCAAACTAGCTTAGTAAAAGGATGGAACACAATATAAGGATGGGTCTCATTGTAAATATTGAAATTTAAGTGTAAGCTTGTCAGGTGCGTATTTCCAATTCCATGGTTGGCCTAGTAATCATTAGGGCCAATTAAAAAAGGAAGTGGCTTAGGGGGATGGGTTTGATCTTGATGGCTACCATACCTAGGATTTAATATCTTGCGAGTTTCCTTAACAATCAAATGTAGAAGAGTTAGGTGGTTTGTGAGTTTTCTAGTTTAATCGAGGTATGCTTAAGTTGGCATGGACATGCATGAATATCGGTAATAAAGAAAAGATAACTATTTTCTATTTAAAATTTATGTAAAATATATTTGATAAGTGTTGTCTAGATTTCCAAGAACAAATAGAGGTTTGAGCACTTGTTCTGTTAGTAGGAGCATCAGCTTTGGAATCATTTTCAGTTCGTTTATTGTCTTGATAGTGGTTGGGATCAGAATAAACCTCTTTAAGCGGAGCTTTATGTGATGGAAAATAAAGATGTTCTCCATAAGGTGGTTGAGATCTTAAGAAACCAGTTATTTGTATGAGAGTATAGTTCTTCAGCACTTGAAGATTTCCTTGAATTATGACTCTGCCAATATGCCAATATGTTAATATTGTAGCTATTTTTGGCATTTTTTTCTTTGGTCGTCTTTGATAACCTTAGCAAGTGCAAAAATTGTTGGAAAAGTCGTTAATGTTTAGAGGTTTCTCTTTAGGATTGGCAGAAGGAAGATAATAGCTGTTTAATTCACTCCTTGCCTTGATTAACATGCTTGGAAGGGTCATTTCTGGTACCATTAGCCTACAGCAATTGGCATTTTCTTTCCAGTAGCAATCTAGTTTTTTCTGTGTTCAAGTCAAGCAAGAAAGCCAAACTTCAGGTTTTTGTTGAAATTTTCTTATCCAGATTCTTCCTCTAGGCTGTGCTTTTCCTTGTTCTACCATCAAGAGGAACAAGAAAGCCAAAAGTGAGGCTTCTAGGGACTTCGATCAAGGAGCGTTCTTTGTCTTGAAAAATTCTATAGATTCCTTCATTCCAAGTTTAACACTTTCAATTATATCCTTCTTGTGGATGATTGTTAAATATTGATTGGTGATAAGCTTACATGACCTATATGGGATTCCTTTGTACTTCCTCCTGCTCTTTAAAATTCTAGTGTCGATGTGCAAGGCTTTGGAGAAGCTTATGTGGGACTTTTTGTGGGAAGTAGTGGAGGAAGGAGGTGATTCGCACTTTGTTAGCTGGGCGGAGGTTTCGAAACCAAAAGATTATGGGGGATTAGGTTTAAGGAACTGGACTACTTGTAACAAACCTTGTTAGCTAAATGTC